GCGGTGCAAAGCGGGTTGGCTTGTGATTGGGGAATCGTTGCTTTGTCGGGGAGGTGAGGCCTTGCAACAAACAACTTCGGTGGTGTGGCACTGTAGAGGTTTGAGCACGATGAAGCGGATGTCTTGGTGTCGAGCCGGTGGGTGAGGGTGGAAGGGGGTCGGTTTGTGGAAGGGATGCATGTAGGGCAGAGTGAGAGGGTGAGTTGGAGATGTGGGTGTGTGTGTGTGTGTGGTAATTGTGTTGTGTATTGTAGACGTACGTGGATGTGGTGCGTCAACTGACACCGGAGAAGGCGATTATGATAGTGACTCTGCCGGAATTGAACGCGCAGTCGGCGGCAGACACGAAGGAGGAGGTGTTTCGGAGGGAGCCGTGGTTTGACATTCGCTATGCCGTCGATGGTGAGTTGCCTTTTTTCTTCCCTCCTATGTGTGTATGTGTGTGTGATGGTTGAGGTGGTATTTTTCCTGTCCTCGTGTTTGATGGGACTGTGGTGGGAGGTGGGGATGTGGATGTGGATGTGGATGTGGAGGTGTGGGCGTGGGTGTGAAGTGGGACGTGGTTGGGATGGTGTAGTGGAGAGGAGTGGAGTAGAGTGGGTGTGGATGTGTGGTGAGTGATGGTGAGGCGGTGGTTGAAGTTGGAGTGTGTACTTGCAGAGATATCGGATGAGCAGATACGGCGATGGCAGAACTCGCCGGGACTGGCCGAATTTCGTCTTCCGGAGGTGAACCGATTTATAAGTGAGTTGGTGTGGTGGATGTGATGACTTGTGTGTGGTGATGGTGTGGATGTGGTGGTATTTTAGCGACGGATTTTGAGTTGCTGCCGTCGGGGGACGACAACGAGGTGCCGGTGAAGGTGGGTTTGGGAGCGATGCAAGGGTTTGGGGAGTTGTGGCACCAACAGAGGGTGAAATTCAATGTTCCGACAGGTAGGTTGGAGTGTACGTGAGTGATGTTTTGTCTAGCCCAGGTGACAGTACACATCTACTCGGACCTTCCGGAGGTGGCGAAAGAGTGAGTTGAATGTGGAGGTGGCATCTGCCCTCTCAATTAGTGATGGCAATCATCATGGTCGCATTTTTCTTCTTCTCCTCTTGTTGTTGTAGTGCGGCGATATTGCGACTGTGGTCGTGTGCGTTGAACCAGCGTTTGCAGACGCTGTTGTACAGTGCAAGCGAGGCGGGATTCTCGTACGTGGAGGTGTTGGTGTTAGTGTTGGTGGTGGTGGTGGTGGCGGTGTGACATGGTCGTCTTTTTCTATTTGTTACTCGTAGGTACTCAGTGTCGGCTTTGGATCGTGGGTTGGAGATTGCAGTTGCTGGTTTCAACGAGAAGTTGTTGGTGAGTGTGGATCATGCGATGGCAGTGTGTCTGTTTGTGTTTGGTAGTGTGGTGGACATTATGGCACCACCTTGGTGGTAGTCTGATGTGGTCGAGTTGAGGGTGAGTTGGTGGAGGAGAGTCTTGCTTAGGTTTTGTGTGGCGGAGGTGGCCGTTGGAGCCACATGAGTCGGGCTGCGGAATGTGGAGTTAGTTTGATAGATGTAGTGGTTAATGGAAGTTTCGGGGGACAGTGAAAGCGTAGGTGATGGTATTTAAATGTGTTTGCCCTGCTGTAGGCAATACGTGGAGGCGCCTGATGGTATTATTAGAGCGATGCCAGTGTCAGTGAGCTGTTGTTTGCAGCGTTTTCAGTTGTTTGCAGTCCTTCAGTAACTTTATTGTGGTAATAGCGTAGAGACACCGGTGGTGGTGGTACGTGGGACAGGATTTGTATGGCGGAAGTGGGAAGTTTAATAAACTGCAGGCAATTGCTTGTTGTGTATTTTTTTTTGTGTATTTTAGCTGCTCTATCAGGAGATAGTGGACGTGCTAGCACAACCTTTGATGGGCAGTAATAAGGAGGGCCTTCTCACGGACACCAGTTTCGCCGTCTACAAGGATCGCTTGCGTCAAAAAACATGCAATCAGGTGCTCAATGCACGCAAGTTCACCACGTAAGTTGCCAGTCCTTCTTCCACAATGTCATTGTTTGTTTTGGCTGAGGAGTGGAAGTGGTGTTGCAAATTGTAATTGGAGAATATCCCTTGTGATTTTTACAGTATTCCGCACACGTTTTTCTCATGGCGTCGGCATAGCATTTACATTACCTTGCGCACTTCAAGATGCTGACGTCAATCCTATAAGTTGATTAATGTTTTTTTTTCTTTTAGGCATTTGAGAGAATACTTTCAGCAGGTCAACATACATCTTGTGGGCGACTAC